TGTTGTGGCCTCTCCCGTTGCGGAGCACAGGCTCCGGACGCGCAGGCTCAGCGGCCATGGTTCACGGGCCCAGCCGCTCCGCGGCATGTGGGATCCTCCCGGACCGGGGCACGAACCCGTGTCCCCTGCATCGGCAGGCGGACTCTCAACCACTGCGCCACCAGGGGAAGCCCTATATATTTTTATACATATAATTCTTTATCTTTATAAATTCCACCTGATATCTGTACAGAGAATAATCTGAAAACGTGTCCTTTATGCTTCAGATACATAACAGAAAAATGTTGAACACTTCTGTTCTCAGGACTCTGTTTAAGTGAGAGATTCTGCCTTAAATTAAAGTATGTCTTATTTTTCATAAAAAACACTCTGAGTTTCAAAACGCTTGTTTACATCAAGGGAATAAATCTAAAAAATATTTCAGCAAATGATCTGGATGGCATTAAAGACCTGTAATCAGGACTTCTTATTTTAAATTCTAGCAGTGTAAAGGCACACATAATTGAATAATTTATTAATTGCCTTTTGCTGGGGCCCATAGAACAGAGTTTCATTTTTATTTATTTATTTTTAATTTTTAAAAATTTATTTATTTTATTTTATTATTTATTTTTGGCTGCATTGGGTCTTTGTTGCTGCACATGGGCTTTCTCTAGTTGCGGCGAGCGGGGGCTACTCTTCGTTGTGGTGCGCAGGCTTCTCATTGCGGTGGCTTCTCTTGTTGTGGAGCACGGGCTCTAGGCTCGTGGGCTTCAGTAGTTGCGGCACACGGGCTCAGTAGTTGTGGCTCGCAGACTCTAAAGTGCAGGCTCAGTAGTTGTAGCGCACGGGCTTAGTTGCTCCGTGGTATGTGGGATCTTCCCAGACCAGGGCTCAAACCCATGTCCCCTGCATTGGCAGGCGGATTCTTAACCACTGTGCCACCAGGGTAGCCCTCATTTTTAAATATACAAGATATTTTCTTTAACTTTGCCCCATATGATAGATGTTTTTCTAAAACATTTGAGATCTAAATTTTTGCAAATGGAACCATACTGTCAAAGCACAAGGAAAGATTGTTGTCAAAAAGTCACAGAAGATTTCTGTTATAAGGTTCATTTTATTAAGTAAAAATCCTTCTGTAGGATTTTTACTTAATAAAATGTAATTTTATCTGTGTCGTGCTTTCTTTTTTATCTGTGTCACGCTTTCCTTGTTTCCTGTGTTGGGTTTTCTTGAAGTGATTTGACAAGAAATTGTTTCCACTGGGGTTATGTAAAGCCGTCTGAGAACAGAACCTCTCCTGGGTTTCAGCCTCTGAGCTCTTGACTGACTGGGTGAGCAAGATGCCTAGGGGACTGGTTACTGCCTTGTTTGTCGTTGGTGAGTTACCATCTCACCCTGTGAGGCTCTGGTAGAGAATGAAATTAAAGGACCTGAAAAAAGTTTATATTCCCCAGGGGCCTGCAGGCTTTTCAACATTTATAGCAGCAGCAGCGCTGGCTCTGTGTGAGATTTTTTTCCTTCTCTCCTGTTGTTTCACTGTGCTTATTTTATTGGAGGGAATAATGGGGAGGAGGGGGGGAGATGAGGCAGCTGGTGGAAAGGAGTGACTTTCTAGTTTAACCCCTCAGCTGCTGGGAGGCTGCTCATTTACTGATGTTTGCTCAGCTCTGGGGGCAGCCAGCATGGACAGACAGAATGTGACCCTGCCTTGGAAGTGTGGGCGGACAGAGCCCTGGACTGGGAACCCTGTCAAGCTTGACATTAACTCACTGTGACCTTGCACTTGCCCACCTGGACCCTCAAGTGCAGATCAGAGTGGGATGACTAGATCAGCTTGGCAAACTTCAGAGCCTTCCAGGGCTCGGCAGGTATGGTAGATGAAGCTGGTCCTGGGAGCCATGTTGCAAAACTGGAGCCCCCCGGCCTCCTCCAAGGTCATTGAGAGTCTGAAGCTTCTTTTATTTTTATACAATTTTTAAAGGTTACTTTCCATTTACAGTTATAACAAAATATCGGCTATATTATACAATACATCCTTGAGCCTGTCTTACCCCCTAATAGTTTGTACCTTCCACTCCCCCATCCCTATATTTCCCCTCCCCCCTCACTGGTAACCACTCATTTGTTCTCTGTGTTATATTCACTAGTTTGTTGAATTTTTTTAGATTCCACATGTAGGTGATATCATACAGTATTTGTCTTTCTCTGTCTGACTTAGCAGAGATTCTGAAGTTTTGAAGCCGCTCTGCAGGGCAAACTCACCATCTTGGCCCCAGGTCCAGATACTATCAGGCATAGATGACTCTTACCACGTGCCAGACAGTGTTCTTCTTTACACATATTAATTCATTTCACCTTCGCAACAAACCATGAGGTGGGTAATGAGTTAGGTACTGTTGTTATCTCAGATTTACAAATGAGGACACTAGAAAAAAGGAATTCTGAGCCACAACACCAGTGGTCTTGCCAGACCAAAAATACAGACAGTGCTTTTTTAGACAGATCCCAGATAGGGCCCAGAGGGACCTGGACCTCAGCTGAAGGAGAGAGCGGCCAATACATTCTAGACTTAACTCTGCCTGATACTGTCACTCAGAACACAGTGAAAGAGACTTCAGGTAAAATATTCAGAGGGTTTTTTTTTTTTTTTTTTTTTTTTTTTTTCGGTACGCGGGCCCCTCACTTTTTCGGCCTCTCCCGTTGTGGAGCACAGGCTCCGGACGTGCAGGCTCAGCGGCCATGGCTCACGGGCCCAGCCGCTCCGCGGCATGTGGGATCCTCCCGGACCGGGGCACGAACCCGTGTTCCCTGCATCGGCAGGCGGACTCTCAACCACTGCACCACCAGGGAAGCCCCTTCAGAGGGTTTTTATGAGGAAAAGGGATCTTAGAAGTGTTCCATATCCATATGAATGGCCATCTGTCCACAGAACTCTTTCTATTTTGCAAAACAAAAACTCTGTACCCATTTAACAACTTCCATTCCTCCCTCCCCCAGCTCCTGGAAACCCCTATTCTACTTTCTGTCTCCATGAATTTGACTACCTCTGTAGTCTGTACCTCGTACAAGTGGAATCAAACACTATTTGTCTTTTTGTGAGTGGCTTATTTCACTTAGCGTAATGTCTTCGAGTTTCATTCAAGTTGTAGCATGTGTCTTGATTTCCTTCCTTTTGAAGGCTGAGTACTATTCCATTGTGTGGATACACCACCTTCTGTTTCTATATTCATCCATCCATGGACGCTTGGCTGGCTTCCACTTTTTTGGCTGTTGTGAATAACACTGCTGTGAACATGGGTGTCACATTTAAGGGAGAATGACAACCCATGGGTGGACCTCACAGGGAGACAAAGCCTGCCTGGACAATAGCAGGAAGAACTTTTCAGTGAGTGGAGCTCCTTCACGGGGCTGCTTCAGGACGTGGTGAGTTCCCGGTCACAGGGGCTGGAGGGCCATCTTGTCAGCTTGTTGGCAGGGGTGTCCCTTTGGGTGGAGATGGCCCATCAGGTGACTCCCAAGGACCCTCCCATCCTTGGGCTTCATCTTGGAGAGGAGCTGAGGGGCCACTGACCTTCGGCCAAATGAGCTAGCTCGGGTTAGGTGGCCAGATCCGGTGGAGGGCACCAACTCCCGTTTTGTTGCCTGTCTCCCAGCGAGGGTCCCCTGGGGGCAGATGCCAGCAGGTGACAGTGTTGTCCTGCCGTCTGCTCCTTTAGCACAGAACATGTCAGCAAGCAGAGGTTAGATTCCCCCACCTAAAGAGGGGCCGCGTGTCACTCACCTTGCCTTTTGTGAGGTTCAGGTCATTGAGGAATAATAGGGAATAACAGGGAGGCAAAGGGCAAGAAGCCGAATGTGGCAGGATTTCTCTGTCTTTTGGCAGCTTCCCGGCATCCTGCTTGGTCCAGTGAAGCTTCCATAGACATTATTGTACATGCCAGTGTTCAGGGCCTCTGTCAAGTTTCACGCATGGGTCCCCCAATGTCAAAGGAGTTCAAGACGTGCCCCTGAGCTGGGCCTGGGCCAGGCAGCAGAAGCAGGGGAGGTGGGTGGGAGGGAACAGAAGCCCTCGCTGTCCCCACTTGCCTCCTACCCTAGGACTGATGTGTTCCAGGAAGATTCCAGGCTCATTTCTGCTTCTGGGTAAATGGAATCGAGCTTTGAAAGCGCTGCAGGAGTGCCCCTCAAAGGAGCCCTGTGGCGCAGTCTTTTGTAAATTGAATAGTCCTTTTGTAAAGTGAGTAATTGTACTCGATTATCTGCTTTGGAGGTTCAGAGTTTCAGAGATTCTCAGGGGAAAGAGGGATTTGTCTGAAGGCCATCTGGCCCACCCCATTTCCAATGCCTGATTCTCTTGAGCATCCCCTCTGAGTGATGCGAAGCCCCCATTGAACCCCTCGATGTTGGGAAACTCACCATCCCATGGATCACTTCATCTTTGTTTGGACAGCTCAGCTTATTAGAAATGAAAGCTTATCCTGAGCTTAAAAAAAAAGTCTCTGAAGTTTTCATCCATTGAGTCTTCCGCTTACAGGTTACACTGAATATGCCCTTTCCCGCGTTGACTCACTTCATACTTGACGGCAATGAACTTGACCCCTGAGTCGTCTCCTCATTCGTTCCTCAGATGGAGGATTTTGAGTTCTTTTATCATCCTGATGGCTCTGCTTTAACTTGGCTTGCTTTGCTGTCCTGCATCCCCTTGCAACCGTGGGACCCAGCAGTTGAGGCAACCGTCAAGACATCTGTGTGAGGGAAACAAGGACTGTCATCTCCCAGGATCTAGATTCTCTTCCTCTGTTCGTGCAGCTTGAGAGCTTTTATGACACTAGTAAACTTACCATTGCCTGAAATCTCAAAGCCATGCTGGTGTGATCTGGGACAAAACCACAACCGGCTCATTCAGGATTTAATGGAGATGATTTTTTTAAATGTCAGATTTTCCTAAGCGGGTTACCTCTGCAGAGGAGTGGTCTGATCTGGAACTAATGGAACTCTCTCTCCTTTTTCCCTAGAACTGGTCAGGCATGAAGTGTCAATTCAAGCTGCTTCGGATGGCTGTGGCCTTGATCTGTAGTAAGTTCTGACTGGGCAGGCTGGGGGAGGGGAGCCCTGTACTGGGCCTGGGAGATGTAGAGACGGCACAGTCCCTGCCCTTCTGGGACTTGTGGTCAAAAAGAAAAGGGAGACGTGTCCACAATGTGCAACACAGTGGGGATGTTACGAGAGGGTCTGGCCTACGATGCTGCTACCTAACCTTTCTTCAACTTTTCACTGATATATAACCTGCCAACGAGAAAGGGCATGCAGGATTAGTGTCCAGCTCGATGGTCAGATCAAGAAGAATAACCTTTTTTGGCTTTTATTTCTTTTTATTTCAAAAAAATTTCTGGTTTTAGTATTTTTATTTAAAAAAATGTTTTTCCTTCCAGCTTTATTGAGATATAATTGACATACAGCCCTGTGTAAGTTTCAGGTGTACAGCATGATGATCTGACTTACATACATCATGAAATGACTAGTACAATCAGTTTAGCGAACATCCGTCATCTCATACAGATAAAGAATTAAAGAAATGGAAAAAAATATTTTTTCCTTGTGAGAAAAATAACTTCTTAACCTTTTGGGTCTTGGAGTTGATCCTTTGAGATCTCCTTGGAAGCTCAGGATTCCTTTCCAGAAAAGTGCCTGTATGCACGCGCGCGCGCGCACACACACACATACACACACTCTAAAACTCGCAGTTCAGCAGGTTCACAAACTGTAGCTAATCCATGAACCCCCGTGAACAGGTGCCATGGGGGCCTTAGTTGGGAGAAGTCAGTCTACCTGCATTTTGAGTGTGAAAGACAGGCAGGTGTTTGCCAGATAGACAGGATGCAAGAGGACACTTCAGGCGCAGCAGGGACAAAGACAGGGGTGGGTGAAGGGTCATGGCTGGCAAGTCAGTTAACAAAACTGCCCCATGAGGTTCAGGACTGTGTGTGATTATGTAAGAGGTCATTGGAGTCAGATCATGGAGGGATTTAAATGCAAAGAGAAAAATTGGGCTTCATTTTGAATGTACTGGGAGGCCACTGGAGGCCTTTAAACAAGAGAGAGACTGACAGTTTTGAGTTTGCAGTCACTCATCAGGCTGCAGGATGAAGAGGACGTTGAGTGAGGGGGATGAGACCAGAGGCCAAGAGGCTCATTGTGAGATGGGAAAAGATGAGTCTGAACAGAGGAGAGAAGAGGGACACACAGACTCTCATTCAGTCCCCAGAACATGGCTATGAAGAGTGGATTATTGTCAGGCTTAATTTACAGGCTCAGAGCGTGAAGTTCCTTGCCTGGGGTCACCCGCCCTAGAGGTGGTGGAGCCAGTGTTCAGAGCCAGCCTGTGTCATCTCTAATGCCCCACACTTTAGCCAGGCTGGGCAGGAGCTCCTGGACTGTCTGTGCCTGGGTCAGCTACTTGCTGTGTGGGGAGGAGGAAGACTGAGCCAGAACAAAGGAGCAGGGGCCTGGGTGGGCTCCACTTAAATCCACTTTTACATCCCTTGTACCCGTGGCGTTCAGGGCCCTCTGGTCTCCGTTTCCTGGATGGGGTTGGAGGATCTCTAATCCCAGAGAGGAACTTCCAGCCCTAAAACTCACAGAATCTTTGAGCCGGGGCCATGGTGGGCCGTGGCGGGGGCAGTGGGCTGGGAGCAGTTGGGGAGCATAGCCTCCAGTTTGCTCAGACTGAGTTTGTCTGTTTGCAAGGAAAGGAACAGAATGATGTCTTGCTGTTTAGAAGAATCCAACTCCAAGCAGCATAAAAACTGAAATGTGGTTTTGGAGCTGGAACCAATGCCATTCAAACCTCGTTTGCGGACCGCAGGGCCTGTGAAGCAAAGGCAGGAAGATGCCCCAGGGCCTGGGGAGGCGTGTGGGAGGGCACTGTGGGCGTCCCTCGCCACTCCTTTTCCGCCATCTATTGGCCACCCCTGGAGTTGCAGGGTCCAGGCCAGGAGGCTGGGCAATTCCCCTGGGGAAGGATCGTCCCTCGAGGTGCTGGCATCTCTGGGACGGTTAGTGTGGAGAGAGGTGCCCTGGTTAATTAACTGGTAACGAATAAGTAGAAAATTCCCCTCAAAGGCTTTAGTCTGTCAAATGGGGATAAGAATCCCCACACTTGGTGTTTTTTGGGTGGTAGGTAATGAAATGGCACAATTTCCCAGCACCTATCCTTTCAAGAGAGTACATCCCCATTGGACTGGCCAACCCAAGAAGTTCGTGCAAGAACGATGGATTGGAGAGCGGGATGGGGGCGTTTTAGAATCCGTTAAGGTTAAATTCCAGCACTTTGTTGGAATTGTTTATTTCCATTCCTTCTTTGCCCTTCTTTCCCTCCATCCCTTCCTTCCAACCACAGAAGCAGTGGTTCTGAGGGTTCTTTAAGGGTTTTGAACTAGTACATGAAGACACTTTATAAAATGTAAAGGGCTAGCACGTATTGAGGTTGTTATCAATGTCCCGGCCGTGCAGCCTGGTACCTAGAGGCTGAGACTTGATACAGATGGGGAAACTGAACCTGCAGGACTCACACCTGCAGGGGTGCAAGGGCCTTTGGGCTTCTGCACAGAGCTGTCCCCTCTGCCTGGAACGCTCTTCTTAGGGTCTTCTCTTGATATTCAGATGTCAGTCCTTTAGGAAGATCTGTCCTGATTCCCCAAACTAAAGAATCCCCCTCCTTAAATGTGGCCTTGATTTTAAATCACCTATTTTTTTCCCCATAGAATTTCTTTTACTGAAATTATCTTACATACGTAACTATATGCTGGTCCATCTCCAGACCCTGTAAGCTCTAGGAGGACAGAGGTTTGTGTGTTATCTTCACGATTATATTTCCAGTGCACAGAGCAAACAGTGCTTGGCCTGATGGGCAGTGAATGCATTAGTGGGTGGACGGCTGGATGAATGGATGGACTGCAAGGCTTCCTGCTCAGCCCCCGCCCCGTGGCCCTCCTGTGACTTCTTTGTGCTTCCTCCCCTTGCAGTGAGTATGGAGTTTGGGCGGGCCGTGTGGCTGCGATTCCACCCATCAGCCTATCCCCCGTGCCCTCACCCGAGCTTCGTGGCGCACTTGGGTGGCGTGGCTGTAGGCATCACCCTGGGCGTGGTGATCCTGAGGAACTACGAGCAGAGGCTGCAGGACCAGTCGCTGTGGTGGATTTTTGTGGCCATGTACACCGTCTTTGTGCTGTTCGCTGTCTTCTGGAACATCTTTGCCTACACCCTGCTGGACTTAAAGCTGCCGCCGCCCCCCTAAGGGCCTGGAGGACCTTGGTCGGGGAGGGGAGGGAGAAGCAGTCGGGCAAGGAGCAGCCGTGTTCTTCTTCTCATCACCAGCTCAGTGAGGCCAGGGAGGCGAGGACAAGAGACGCTGGGCCGCTGCAATATTTGTGTTCCGGTTTGAACAGAGTGGAGGCATTTTTCTGAAAGGCACCTGTTGGAGGGTTTGGATGTGGCTTCTGTAGTTTTTCTAGATTGTTCTGAAAACCTCGGGCCAGGGTGAAGGCCTGGGGTGAGATGAGAGTGGCCGTCCCCTTGGGCTGGGCGTGTCCCATGTGTACAGGGGTCCCCTCCCTTGTCATAGACTGGGCACCAGCCTTCTCACTCATCGCCACCCTGAGACACCTAAGCGCGTAAGGAGGGCCTGAGTCTGTAGTAGCCAGGCAGGCCCTTGTCCAGCCCAGAGGTCACTGTGGGCCAGGAAGTGTTCCCTCCATAGCTGTTGGGTCTGGAGCTCTAGAGTGGAAGGGAGCCTGGTGGTGGAGGACATGTCGACTTTGGTCTGGGGGGCCCAGGGGGCCCTCCCATGCATGTCAGTGGGTGCTGGGATGTGGCCTCTAGTGCCTGGGGTGGGCAGAGGAGGCCGATTCTGTAACTCCAGGCCCCACCTTTGCCCTGCAGGTACCCAGCGAGAGGAACCCAAGTGGGAGGGAATAAACTTTGTTCCAAGTTCCCCCCCGAGGAAGGGTATCCACTTTGGGTGTCTCCTGGGTGCTGACATCTCACACCAGTGCCCCAGCATCCATACCCTTAAGTTCAGGGCCTTTTCCTCCCCTTCCACTGCCCTGACCCCCCAATGTGCCTGTCCTTTGTTTATAGAGCCAGTGTTCTGATACGTGTGTGCATGCGTGAGTGTGTGTGTGTGTGTGTGTGTGTGTGTGTGGTCTGGTGGGCGGATGCACGTGGGATGGGAAAGACAACGTGAGGCCAGTTGGAGGCAGCAGAGGAGGCTGTGAGGGGCAGAGGGGGATGGGGCGGGAGTTTGCATGAGAGGAAGGAGGGTGCTGAGAGATGGGAAAAAGCTTGCCCCCTTCTTTCTTGCTTTCCTCAGAGAGGCTACTGGGCTTTCTTGCCTTTCTCAGAGAGGCTCCCGGGAGCCTCTCTGAGAATCACTGACCGTGGGAGACTTGCCGTGGTGGAGGGAGACCTCGGGCCTTTCCAGGGACCCTCAGGATGCTGAGGTTTTCCTCGCCTTTGCCAAGTTCTGCTCCAATTCCCATCTAGAATAGACTCCCTATCTGAAAAGGTTCTGTTGTATCTCCCTTAGGAGCCTTGGGGGCGCAGGAGAGGCTGGAGCAGGAATGTTGAGGCCAAGTGCCCTTTTGAGTTGAGGGCACAGGAGGCTACATAAAAGGAACTCAATTCAGATGGAAAACTACTGGAGAAGAACTGTAGGGTGCTTGGGTGAGTGTCAGAGGTGAGGGCAGCCCGTAGACTCAGATGCTCAGAGCTGGGAGGGAATACGGAGATGATCAAATCCATCCCCCCACCCATTACACAAGTGGCAAAACAAGGCTGAGGCAACGACCCCTGATAGAAGCTTGTGCCCACCCTGAGGGGAGGGTGTGGGGAGGATGGCGTTTGACAAACTACGCCATTCCCTTTATACCGCTCTGGGAACTCACAGCCACTGACAGCCCAGGAGGCTGCGTTCGTGCAGGAATGGGGCAGCCACATGCCTGTCAGAGCCCTTAAATATACCAAGGTCCAGAGTCAGCCAAGCCAAGCATTTGGGGGTCTTGGGCCATTGTGGTCGCACATAAATGGTCAGGGTCTTCCTAGCCAGGGACACCCCCAAGCCATGCCAAGCCCTTCCCTGGCTTTGCCCAACAATAGATGGTTCTGGTCCCCGCGTCTGGCTCCCGAGGTCCTGCTGCACTTGTGCCAACGCTGTGCTGAGGACTGCCAGCCCCAGGGTGGGGGATGAGCCTGGGTGTGGCTGAGCTGTGCCAGTCTGTGCCCTGCCAGCCACTCTCTGCCCTCCTGAGAGACAGGTGTAGCTGGAAGAGTCTGCTTCTTAGGAGACTCTGAGCTGGAATGGGGGCCAAGAGGCTCGGGTGAGGATCGGGGTGGGGGGCCTCAGCCCTGGGCTGCCGCCACTGCTAACCCTGAGTGGCGCTGTCCTTTCCTGGAGGGACAGAAGCTGCTGGTGCCTGGCTGCAAGGCAGGGGCTTCCCCTCCAGACCCTGGCACCTGAGAGCTCTGGGATGTGGGTGGAGGGGGCAGAGAGGGGCCTTCTTGTTTGGTGCGGCCTGGAGAGGGGCAAGAAGACTGTGAACCAGAAGAGTCTAGAAAGCCCTCAGAGAAGTACCCAGTTCCTTCAGAGTTTCAGATGGAAGCCTGTTACCGAGACGGACTGCCTGAGGCGGAGGTCCTGTCTCCCATCCTGTTAAGTCTGCCCTGCAAGGTCTGGGATGCGCTGAGGGAGCCTCCTCCACACCTCAGGCCTCCAGCCCCAGCTGCTCCCTGTCCAAAAACAGCCCTGAAGTTCTTTGCTGTGCTTAACGCCCACCTGCACCACCTCTCCCAACCATCGCTCCAAGCAAGACTGCCCAGTGATGACGGCAGTCACTCCACACCACTCAGGTCTCCAACCCAGGGCCGGGAGACAGCTGTCCGGTAAGAAGGCTTTACTTTTGGAGTCTGGCTTTTTCCCCGGCAAGTCCCTCTGTTCCCGAGCTCCCAGCACCTGCCAGCAGCACGTCCCCGTCGTCCTCCGTCCTCCCTCCTCTAGTATGGCCACCTGGCCAGGGTGCTGGGAAGCAGAGGGTAGAGTGAATCTTCAGGCTGTGGAGGCCAGTTGCCTTTCATCCGCAGGCTCCAGAGATTGAAAGCTGAGCTTCCCCAAACAGCAGCCCTAGACTCACTCCCTCCCTCCCTAAATGCAAGAGGAATCACGGAAACTGGGGAAAGGAAAACAAACCTTCAGAGGAGAAATTTCGTTTTAATGACACCATTCATCATTCATTTTTTTAATTAGGAAAAGCTCCCTAATGAGACGCTTTTGACAGCTAATGGGATTCTCAACTTCCATGAGGATCATTCTTGCCCAGAGGATTAGGGGAGTTGCTGCTCGCCAAGCCTGGATCTTCTTTCCCCAGTGTCCAATTTAGTTTGCAAATAATGATGATTCCCAGGTGCAGTGGAAACCCTTTCCTGACATCATTCATGTTGCTCCCAGTGCTGGCTGGAAAGCTCTGAAACTCCTCTGCCTTAAAAAACTGCCCAACACTGATCTTCCTCTGCCCAGGACGTGAGTAAGTGGAAACAAAAAACACAAGCTGCAATGTTTGTTTCGAAATATTTTTATATTGTGTATATTGTGTATATTTTTGTTGTAACATATCATTTGAGCACAGATTCCATTAAAGATTTTTTTTTTTCTTTAAGCCATTGGTTATTCAAGAAGTGACCTGAAGGGCTGGCATTGGACTCTATTCCATCTCAGTTTGGGTTAGGGAGGGGGAGAGTGTGGACAGCAGTGGGGGTGGGTCTACGATGTATGCGCTACAGATGGGACATCCGTGCTCGGTGCTGGTGTTTCCAGCTCGGTGGTTCTTTTTTTTTTTTTAATATAAATTTATTTATTTATTTTGGCTGCATTGGGTCTTCGTTGCTGCGCGCGGGCTTTCTCTAGTTGTGGCGAGCGGGGGCTACTCTTCGTTGCGGTGCACGGGCTTCTCATTGTCGTGGCTGCTCTTGTTGCGGAGCACGGGCTCTGGGCGCCAGGGCTTCAGTAGTTGTGGCACGTGAGCTCAGTAGTTGTGGCTCACGGGCTTAGTTGCCCCGCGGCATGTGGGATCCTCCCGGGCCAGGGCTCGAACACGCATCTCCTGCATTGACAGGTGGACTCTTAACCACTGCGCCACCAGGGAAGCCCAGCTTGGTGGTTCTTAACGTTTCTTGAATTACTGAGTTCTTTTGACTGGTTGATGAAAGCACGATTTCTCTGCCCATAAAAATGCACAGATAGACAATTTTGTGTATGATTTGGGGGGAAAGGGCTGTGAATAAGGAAACTCATCCATAGTTTCAGGTCAAGAACCTCTGTGCCAGCTGTCCTGGTGGGTGCCCTGCCTTCCCCTTCCACTCTTACACGGTACCCCAATGAGAGCTTAATATTTTGACTATTATTATTGGAGGAATTGTCTTCAAAATATCCTAGGTACTTCCTTTTTTACCCCAATGACCTAGTCTTTAGGTCTTTCTAGAGGCTGTCAGTACCCTGATCTTGAGAAGCGATTAGGAATGTTCTCAGGGTAAAAGGGCATGGACAGTTCACATACAGAAGGGGAAAATAAGAGGAGCATTAAGCGTTAAGGTAGAGTCTGGTGCTTGGTAAGTTTAACAATCGAGTGGGCTTTGAATGGATGAAACCTGAGAAGGTGATCCGTTCTCACCAGTTTTTCTAAGCTGATGGCAGTGTATGTAGTTTTGCCATTCATAACTTTCGCTGGAGGATTAAACTACCCTGTTAAATTCACTGTGGGAGTTGTTTCCCTTAAATGTTTTCACATCAGTTTCCTGTGTATCATTTACAAATATTTTTAAATGCTTTCTGGAATGGCAGAAGTCACCCCAGAACAAACTTGAGAGCAGGGTTCAGCCTAAAGGTCCAGGAACCCACTTCTGTCTGGAGTGTGGAGAACTGACTCTCCTAGAAGGAAAGTCTGGACCCTGTCAGCAGCCGTGTTCCCAGGACTCAGTTCCAGGTTCCGACACCCGAGGCAGTTAAAGGTAAGCTCCCTGGCAGCCAAAAGTCGTTAAGCCAGCTTTGGACTTGGCCTCTTATCACTTCCTTCTTCACTCTTCGGCTTCCTCCCTTCCTCCCTTCTGCCATTAAGTAATGGGAAGATTCTTTCTTCCCATTACTTAATGTTTACCGATAATGGGGTAATTATGAAGACCATTTACTGGGTACCTACTACGTGCCAGGGCACTGGGCGAGAGGCACTTTCAATCTTACTCTCATTTAATTGCACAGCTACTTGGTGTGACGTGGGTATAAGTACACCCGTATTGACACTTGAGGGGAAGGCTTAGAGAAGTTCAGTAACTTGCTAGTAGGATCACACCCAAGACTGCCTGGTTCCAAAGTTCGTGTTCTTAGCCTTCGGGTGTTTGTATAGAACTTTGAGGACACTAAGTTTGTAGAAGCATCAGGGTGTTTGTTTAAAGAGCCAGTCTCATTGCCCTGGGCCTAGGGCCATCGGTCACAGCCGTGAACCTTGGAACATTAACTCGGTGTTCACTTAACAGGATCTCCGTTTTGTCAGCCCTCCCAGAGGTAGGTCACAAGAAAATCAGCAGCTATCACCCCCTATCCCCCCCCAATTTCCAGAATCTAGCATTTATGCCAGCGCAGAGTGGTATGAAGTCCATGAGGCACATTTAAGAAGTTTAGCAGCTATAGGACTGGAGCTGCCTTCTTAGACCTCCAAATGGAAAGACTTCATTGAAGCCAGTGGGGTTTCCATTACTAAGAAGACACATGGTTAGGAAAATGTAGTCCTAGTAACTGAATCTTATTTCTGAGATGCCTGCAGGCTTTTCTGGCATCTGGTATAAGGGATCCTCTGGTAAAGGAGAGGCATTCTGTCATGGTTAATAATGAATGAGAGTGAAAGGAATTGACTTGGGTTATTGAGTTCGAAAGGTAAACTTTACTGGACAATGAATAAAACATTGTGATGGAAATTGCTCCTACACTCTGCCTGATGCCTCCTGCAAGATGCAGAAAGGTGTCTCCCAGCAGGTGATTTGATTTTCTTCAACAAATTCCTTAGCCTAACGAGTATAATTTCCCCCATAAACTTGTGAATTAATAAAAATGTCAGGCTGGAGAATTGAGCTCACTGAATAAAAATGACTGTGCTGGTGAGAAGCTAAGCTGTTTTATTATTATTATTATAAATATAATTACAGATAAATTGAGACCATTCTTGATATGTGACAAACA